CGTATGCAAAAGTTATAGCCGTTTTACTTTTTCATGACACTTTTTGCAAAACATGTCCAAATTTAAGCTTTTAAATTTTCCTAACTAGTAGATGTAGTAATATAACTACATCTCGAAGGATTTTATTTTTTGAGTTTTTATCATTTTCTTTTGCTTTTTTCATGACACTTTTTGCAAAACATGTCCAAATTTAAGCTTTTAAATTTTCCTAACTAGAATTTTATCGTTTTACTTTTTCATGACACTTTTTGCAAAACATGTCCAAATTTAAGCTTTTAAATTTTCCTAACTAGTAGATGTAGTAATATAACTACATCTCGAAGGGTTTTATTTTTTGAGTTTTTATCATTTTCTTTTGCTTTTTTCAAAACTGAAATGGCGATACACGGTGTGTGGGGGGGTGGAAGGCAGAGTTTGAGAAATTGGTCTTTTAGTCCCGGTTTGAGACACGAACCGAGACAAAAGGGCATCACACACTTTAGTCTAATCTTGACTAAAGGATGCGATGCCCTTTTGTTCTGATTCGTGTCTCAAACCGGAACTAAAGGGGCCATTTGAACCTAACTTGACAGGCAGGCGAGGGTGGATGATGAATTGCACCTGGCTTCCATATTTCTGTATTATGTCATACAACAATCATGCTATGCCCACATCTGGAGAAGGCCGGGGTTGGTTCATTGAAGTCACGTAGAGCTAACAAACTTCTTTTGGAAATAATTAAAGGTAAAATGCATTGGACTTTGCCCTTTAGTGAGAATTGCCCCTGGTCCCAAACCTCGGCCTCCTTTGTCTACTGAGTATGTTGCTCTACCAGTTGATGGTTCTTTCTCAGTGGAATCCGGCGCAGCGGTGGCAAAAATGATTCTTCAACGACATGATGGTTCACTTATTTTTGCAGCATGTCGGTTTATTTTCAATTGTAACGATTCACTGGAAGCTAAGATTCATGCAATCATGCAAGGGATGGCGCTAGCTATACAACATTCTACTCTTCCGGTCATCGTTCAATCTGACTCAAGTGAGGGGTTGTTCTGTCTATCAGGGAACGGACTTGTTCGTTCTGCTTATGGCCATCTCGTGGCTGAAATTAAGGAGTTGATGAGACATAGGGAGTTTATTCCTCAAAAGTTGAATAAGGATCAAAACAGAGTTGACGACCGTTTGATAAATTATAGTCATATAGAGTGTACCACGGATGTGCGGATGCACGTAGGACTACCATGTATTGAGAATCTTTTGCCTTTCGTCTGTAGTTCTCTCAATATGGAATAAAATCCTTTTCCCACGCGAAGAAAAAAAGCTTCCTTTGGAGCTGATAGCCAATGATCAAGCAAGCGTCCACGGGACGAGATCTGTGATAGGTGATGGATGAGTTGTCTCATCAGAAAACTGGCAACAACTCCCAGCTTCCCTGCTCACATCATTTGGTGTGTGCTGGTCCGGTCCGGTAGTTCCGTAAACAAGGCGATCATGTCATGCCCACCGCGAAATCACAGCTAGCTAACCACAGCTTTTGAGGTCGTGGGAGCCCCCACTGGATCATAACATCCACGCTACAGCTGCACCTACAGGCTGTAAGCCTGAGCAGGGTGTTCAACCGCAGCTCAAAACGGCGCGAGCTGCCATATGTAAAAAAGGGAGCTGGTTTTACTGAAACCAAATTCAGAGCGATTTATGCGCTGCTAAATGACCGGCCTATTTCCTCCCTTTTAGGCCTTGTTGGTATCCCTCTTCTCCGCTCTGACTCCGCGGACTTGTGAAGCCCAGTTTTAGTCACTCCGTGAAAATGAGATAGAGCCTGGTCCACTCCGGGGCAGAGTGGAGCCTAATTCTAGTCACTCCGTGAAAATGAGCTAGAGTCTGGTCCGCTCCGGGGCGGAGTGGAGGGAGTAGAGAGGAGCCGAACGTGGCCTATTACAAATAGCAAAACCTGGGAACACCAGTCCAAAACTTCTGGGAGGGAAATAGCAACATCACTGTCAATGCTCCATGAACATGACAATGCGTCGAGATTATAGCGACGCACATGATTGTACACATGACGATCACTGCCATGATTGATGACAGACAGAACAAAAAAAAAGGGATGAAAACAAATTTTTGAACAGCTTCAGTCACACTACACCACAAGACATAAAACTGTACCTTCGTGGGCAGAAAAACGCTTTTGACATTTGTACCCTAGCTCTCAGTACAATTAAGCGCAGGGGAGCTCTAAAAAGAAAAAGAAAAAAGGCGCAGGGGGAGGGGGGATATGTAAGTAGGAGTTATTGAGGCTCTCGCGACCGCGGCTGCGTCGGGTGAGCGCGCCGGTGGCGCTGCCTTGATCTCCTCCCCGCAGCCTCCCCTGCGGCCGTCGGCACCGGATCTGGAATCTCCTCAGCGCTCTCTCTCTTCTCCCCCGCGAAGCTCCGCTGGACGCCATGGCTCCTCTCTCCCAGCCCGTGGGAGCAGCCATGTCTGCATTGGAACGCTCTGGCGACAACGGCCCTCCGCCCCACCAGCCCCCTGTGGCGGCCGCCGCTCCGGCCCCGTCGGCCTCCCTCACGGATCCGCGCGTCCCCCGTAGCTCGCGGCAGCCTGCACCCGCGAGCAGGTTCAGAGCGGAGAATGGGGGGCGTGCGCGGGTTCCCCGCGAGTCTCCTCCCCTGCCCGGGTCGGTGGCCACCCGGCAGCCCTCCGTCTCTGGCGGCGCTTCCGGTCAGTTGCTGGAGTCCCAGGCTTTGATCCCCGAGGCTCTCCTTGTTCTATCGGATCTGGCGGCGGCCCCAACGCTACCTTCGCCACCTCAGGCGGGCCGAGTCCCTGCACCCGGCGTTGGCTTGGTGGTGGTGCTCGACTCCAGGCCTGCTTCCTGGTGCGCTGTCAATGATGATGAGGTCCAGACTGAGGAGTTGGTTCTACAGTCGCCGTTGCCCGACGGGTCTGCCGGCGATGCACATCTCCAGCTTGGTTGCTCTGTTGTGAAGGATGTGGAAGATATTGAGGGCCTCACTGAAGGATGTGATGACGAGAAGACACCACAGAAGCTGCTTGGTCCATCTTCAGAGTCGGCTTGCATCGACATCTCTGCTGCCACTGCTGCTCTTGAAGCGGAGGCTGGCTGGGAGCATGTGGAACGGGGACACCGTTTCGGCCGGGGTGCTCCCCCTGTGCCGTCGAGAGAAGGTCTTGAGCGTAGCCTCGCCTTCAAGCGTTGGGCTCGAGGAAGGTGCTTTCGTTGCCTCGAGCGTGGCCATCAAGTCCATGCATGTCATGATTCATTCAGATGCATACGCTGTCGTCGCCCTGGTCATCGTGAGAGGTTTTGTCGTGCTCACTCTCCGGTTGCTCGGGATCGCTCTCCGGTCGCCCGCGTGAGCTCTCCGGTCTCTCAAGCTCATCACCAGCGGAGCCGCTCCCCATTTGTCCAGCCTTGTTCTTCGCAAACCAGGTGTTGGGCAGAGGTCGTGAGCAACTCGTCGCTGCATGTGTCGGTGCCGCCAAGGTCCCAATATAGGTGTCGCCAGGATTCCAATGCCAGTGCCTTTTTGGTCTCTGCTTTGGAGTCCCAGTTTGCTTTGCTACGTACGGAGCTCCTTCAGGAGGTTGAGCTCCTCCGCACTGAGCTTCGCGACGCTCTTGCCAAGCTTCAGGTTGCTTCGGTTGTGCCTTTGGTGCCTGAGCTCCAGTCTGGTTCCACTGATGAGGTGGATGAATGCTTCTTTGGAGAATTTTCTCCTCGTGCTGTGGATGGGACGTCGTCTGTCCATGGCGGTGTGGTCATCACCGAGGTCGTGGCTCCTGTTCTGCAGATTATGCCTGAGCTGCAGGAGCTTTGTGGGGAATCAGCTATGGTGCAGCCGATGAAGCCGGGCTCATTGGAGTCCTTGGCCTCACCATCACCGTCAGAGTCCTGCCAGCCGCTCGCCTTTGTGGATAGTGGATGTTTGGATGGTTCTTTCACTCTCTCATCTATGCCCATTGGGCATGAGGTGTCCTTGAGTGACGAGGTTGATGAGACAGGTGTGTTGGCGCCTAACTCTGATGCTCTATCATGTGAGCAACTGGAGATGTCTGAGTCCATCGTGTCGGTTGCTTCTGTGGTTGATGATGTTTAGACGATTAATATGTTGGCTTCTGATCCTTTGGAGCCTAGCCAGCCGCTCGCCTTTGTGGAGGATGAAGGTTCTGATGTTGCGGTAACCCACTCGCACGTGACTGTCAGGCAGGTCTCTGCGCGTGAGAAGGTCGATGACATTCTCTTTCAGATAGAGCTTCATAGCTTGCTTAACCGTTTGGTGGCGGCTAGCCCTGGATCTGGCAAGGCGATTGTGGTGGAGGCTCTTAGGAGCAAAGGAAAGAAGAGTGACGCCACAAAAAAGGCGTCCGCGGCTGCTTAATGGATGATCTTCAGTCTCTTGCGTTGTCCTTATGACCTGCATTGTCTTTGTGGATTTGGTGGTGTCCGTGGTCGCTAGCCAAGTTAGCCTCGTTTGGGGTGTCTTTGCGATGTAGCAGTGTGGGGTTGATGGTCTTTACGTGTTGGATATGGTTGTCGAGTGAGTAGTCCACATGTGGTTGATTTGTATCGATTTTTGTCCGGTTTTCCGTTAATTAACTGGGCAATTCTCTTCTGCTTAATTAATCGATGAGGCAAATCTTTTGCCTCCGTTTAAAAAAAAGGCGCAGGGGAGCTCTAAAGAACACAAGCCCGCTCGAAGCACATAAGAAAAGGGGCTGGTACGAGACGATTCCATATGCATCGCGAGAAAAGAACTGGATTTACATGATTTGGCACTTTAGTACTCCCTCCGATCCAAATTAATTGACGCACAAGCGTGCGTCTATTAATATGGATGGGAGTAGGAACATTAATTTCAGGCTAGGTTCGGTTACACAGGCGAACCACCCCAAAGGCCCAAACCCACCACCCCAAAGGCACACAAGAACTACCAGTACCTACCTAGAATCGGTAAGGATCCTCAAAAAAAAAAAAAAACCTAGAATCGGTAAAGCTCTCACCGGAATCTCTTATCCTTCTGGAGGAGGATATTAGGGTTCCGCTTAGATCCTGTTAACTCGCCCCATCTTGTCCCTGCTCCATGAACACGTGAAGAAATGCTCCACAGGGTGTCTCCTTGCTGAACAGCTGCGTCTTTCGTGGCCTTTGCAGTGGCTTTCGATTTCATCAGAGGATGCTTGCTGCCCTTGCCCATGCCAGCTCCTAGCAGCCATCTCGAACCAGATTGCTGCTGTGTTTGATTAGCCCACGGTTTTGTCTTCTCAGGCTCACTCTTAAAACCGGCCACATGCACTTCTGTGACTTTAAATTGGGGAACAGAGTCTTCCTCTATCTTTTCTTCATCGACCGATACTTTATCAAGAACCTGCTCAGGATTGGGCTCCTCATAATCTTGCTCACTGTTACCTTTCTCTGAAACGGTGCTGTATATCTTGGGCTTTGGGGGAATAAAAACCCTCTCAACTTGAATCAAAGAAAGCATCGGTGTGCCAACTGGCTCGTAGTTACGTAGCGGGTCACGCAATTGAACCATGAGAGCAACTGTGAAGTTGTTCCCCAACAAACCCCATCTTCTACCAGATCTCCTGCTCTTTTTGTCTGCAGTCTGGCCTTCACCAAGTAGGTCCGTTGGTTTGGCATGGTGGGCAGCAAGTATTTTCGATGTACGGTCACTGAACTGCTCCTCTTCATCCACTACTCCGGAATCAAGCCTCATCCACTCATCTAGAGTGATCGATAAGCCCATTAATCCATCAACATCACCACCAGCTTGTTTAACATCCAGAAGCTGCAATCCTGCAGTTCCTTCCAAACCAAGTGACAAAGTATTCTCTGCGGACTTTCCTTGTAGAGATGAAATTTCTCCAATAGGGTGGGCACTGATATTGGATGGTGCCTCTTCTTCGGACATGCCAGACTGTATCCTCAGACCCTCAATAGAAAGGGCTTCAATCTTTTCCATAGCTAATGGAGCAAGATCCTCAAGTGAAACATATTCTGAAGCACTTATCGCACCCAATGATGATGACAGATCAGCACCTCTTTCTTTCTTCTTCTTCTTTCCCAAAGCAGCATTGCTGGCCCCTGCTGCCAACGCATCAAAACTATGATTCTCCAGTAGGTCATATCTGCATTGGTTAGAGTAATATATTTTAGCCAGGGCAAATGATGAAGTATTAAGACGTCATGAACAAGCAGGAAAAGAAAGATTTCTAACCTTCCTGAAGACTCTAGAGCAGGAGAAGCCTCCCATGCAAGCTGCTGCATCATTTTGCCATTGACATCTTCTAAGGGCATAAGTTTGTTTGCTTGCATTGATAGCTTTTCGATTCCAACTGAAGCTAGACCATGCAATATCTCCATAATTCCAGAGCCCATTTCTGCTGGCAGTACGATTGGAGAAGAAGCCTGCATGACCAAGCTACAATTGTTCTTTGCATTCTTGAAAAGAACTGGATTCATCGACCGCAGAAATCCACCATCCTCTGTCTGAATAAATGGGCCCAAACCATCAGCCAAAGGTGGCAACTCAAGGGGCTGCTCAGGTGGGAGGGCAATGGGGCTACCAAACCCACTTCTACTCCCAGGTGGAGAAGACTGGAAGGACTTCTCATTTAGCCCAAATTGACGCATCAAAGCTTCAGTTTCCTCGTCTTCCAGTGACTTGGCTCTAAATGTGGTGTCTATGGGCGGAACTACATTCTGCAGCTCAAGTTCAGCCTCGCGTATGATTGTGGAGAGATCGAAATCCTCTGCAACATCTTCACAACTAGGTTCTTCCACCTCATCTTCGAAATCCAAACCAAGAATACAGTCCCCAGATTCTAGAGCTTCCTTTTCAAACTGCTTCCAAAGCCGCTCTCTTGGTGACTCGGGATCACTATCTGAGGTTACCCCAAATGGGCTATGTGCTATCCCAAGCATATCCAAAAACTCATTAGCAACAAAATCGGATGAAGCATCCATGCTGCGTGATCTGCTCATCTTACTGGCGGAATTGCAACTATCTCCCGCACCAATGCAGCTCAATCGCCTAGAATGCTTATCTTCCACAATTGGTGAGTCAAATTCCTCTGGCTCAACAATTGAGAATTTGTTGAATATACCCTCCAGAACCTCCAGTTCTGCATCTGCTGCCAGCTCACCATCTTTTTCAAATGCGGCAGTAGGAAGCAAGGCCGCTTCGACCGATGCATCCTGCTTGTCTCCTACATCGTCCATTTCAAGAGCAACATCATTGAGCTCCTCTTCCAACTTCACTTCAACAGTTCCCTCTTTAGCAAGATCTTCAATTAATAATGCAGGCTTGGACGTTCCCTCTTCATTAGCTTCACCACTAAAGCCCTCATCTTGATCATTCACATTGGCAGTCTCGACATGTTTGAACTGGTCTGGATCCTCGAGGGTGACCTCAACTCCCTGCTCAACCACATTGAACTCTGAACCATGACAATCACCCTCTGGGTGCACCAAGTCCCCCTCTCCCTTCCTCATCTCTACTGAGGTGCAATGCTTTGACTGCGGTGAACCATCCTCCTCGCATTCTACTGTTGCCGTCTCACCCTTGGTAGCATCAAGACCGGCATCACCAACAAAGGGCAAGGCCTTTACAGGCCTCGTGTTTGGCAAAACCTCGTGGAGCACCCTCACGTCCCGGCTCCGTGCCGGCACTGGTGACGGGGACTGCACTGACACCTGCCGCGCCATGGAGCCCCGTCTCAGCCCCGCCACTTCCCCTCCCTTGTGCTGCTCCCCACCTCCGCCCACGAGCACGCAGGAGAAGGTGACATTGAGCCGCGCGCCGCGGGCAACGCCAGAGAGCCGGAAGCTGGTGCTCCACTTCCCAAATCCGGAGTCGCCGCCCTCCTCGAGGTCGTCGATGGAGAGCGGCAGCAAACGGGTGAGGTCGACCTCGTGCTTGCCGAGCTCGAGTGCCGAGGCGGCGACGGTGACGACGAAGGCCCGCGGCTCGTACTTGACCGCGTTCTTGGCCCCGCGGGAGAAGTAGACGGGCGAGCGCTGCGTGAGCGGCTCCTCGAAGGCGACGGCGCCGAGGGCCGGCGCGACGGGGCGGGTGGAGGCGCAGGCGGACATCCGGCGGAAGTGGACGGAGATCGGGGAGCCGTCGAGCGCGGTGGGGAGGCCGTCGACGGAGTGCACCTGCAGGGTGAAGGCGCAGTCAAGGCGGCGCCTGCCCAGGTGCGAGATGGCCGTCAACGACTTCTTCCAGAAGGACGAGGATGAGGAGGAGGAGGAGGTGGAGACCGAGGAGGAGTAGGAGGCGGAGGGCAGGAGCTTGCGGGTGGAGGAGGAGGGCTTGAGCTTGGGCTTGTGGCGGGCCTGGTCGGCGGCGGCAGATGGGGCGGCGGGGAGCGGGAGGGAGCGGCGGCGGCGCGAGGGGTCGAGGGAGAGGGCCTTGTGGAGCGTGACGAT